CTTTTGCGATCGCAAAAAATGTGTCGCAAAGCGATTTCATCGCTAAACGGAGCAATCGCTATGCAAGGCACCACTGTATTTACTGTCCCGAGTAGTGCCTCAGCACTATTGTTCAGTCCCAGAATTTACCTATTATCCCACAATCCCCCATGAGAATTCTGAGTATGAGAGTGATGCCTCCCTACCTCCATTTTCTGCTTTACTCCATGTGCTTCAACTGAGAAGAAGGGAATGCCTCCCTAGAGCCATTTCTTCCAGTGCTCCATGGGAATGATGTCTTGCTGTCTATTAGACTCTACAAGGGGAGCCTCTCACTAAACTACCTTTACCACGGAGCACTGAGTCAGTTTCCAAAAGCCTGAAGTCCTAGAAACAAAATGCTTAATCAGCGTATTTTTACTAATGTGGATCAATATTGTTGCTTTTAAGCTTTTCAGTGCTCAGGTTGCTGTCTGAGCAAGCTAATAGCTACAGTACTCTCTTTTTCAAAACATTAACAATATTTTTCCTTTTTAAAATTATTCTTTGAACAATTATTTGTTAAATGGTTAAAACATAATTTACTAATATGTGACATTTCCCCAATAAATAGTGTTTAATGAAAACTGTCCATTCCCCCCACAAAAGCTGCCCTATTGCTTCATGTATTTTGAGTGCTATACATCTGCTTTGAGGTAAATGATGCAGCACAGACAAACCAAGGATGATTCTAGCACAACAATCGAAAGGTACAGCATGGCTGTTTCATCTTGTCCCCTGCTCTTGGAATTCTTTCTCCCCAGAGGCATTCCTGTTTTGTTACTCTTCCAGGTGAGACCTCTTAACTTCATTCAGAAATGCTTCAATTTCCCTGATAACCTGTAACATGGGATGGTGGGCTTTGAGTTGCAGTTCCCATAGGACTACCAGCTTGCAGTTGCAGGCCTGTCACAAGTGTTGCACATCATGCCCATGTGGATGTGCCATTTGTTTTGTTTTGGTAGTCTTCCTGCCCATAAGGCTCTATATAGAGTAATTCCAAAAAAAATCAGGGCAGTTTCTTTTTTGTACAGGTAGTAAGCTGAGGCAGCCTGTAATACAGACCTTTTTCCAGGTGAGTATATGTAGGGATGCACCTGTAGGCAGGAATTTCCTAAATTCTGCTTAGGAAATTCTTGGAGCATTCTATGAGTTGGAGTCTTTAAAAAAACAACCTCAAACAAATAGTACGCTGAATGAGCAGTTGATTTCCATCTCTATTTTCTTGTTTGATAGAACTGCCTATCCCACAGACATTAAACAAAGCAACTTTAAACCTCCAAACTGATAATATAGGCTGTATAAATTTGTTGGTGGTTGTGAGGCTCCCAAGGTGGAAGCCATGGTTGGAGTGCCGCTGCTCTTGAAGAATAGCAGCCAGACACAGACTTCCCCCCCACCATCCCCACCGCGACGGGAGGAGAAAGGAGTGGAAACCCCTGACTGGGGAGCAGAATGCGGCGGATCCCTCACCCTAAACAAGGGGGTAGATACCCGAGACTTAGAAGAAGACCTGAAGGGGTTAAGAATTGCCCGCGAAACGGGACAGTTTCAGGCGGGAAAGAGGGGGGAGGAGATAGAGGCGGGGATGGGAGATATAAGGGGAAGACCGAGGGATATTCCGGGCGGTTGGGAGTGGGTGTGGATGGAGGATCCGTGGACCCACAAGTGGGAACAAGTCCGGGTGCCACATGAAGAGGCAGAGAGGCGCCGCCAACTAGGGCTGAAGCCTCGTCCGTCTTACTGGGGTGAGACGGAGGCGAGAGAGTGGCGTAGGAAGCTCAGAGAAGAGAGGGAGGCGGTGGCTCGAGAGCTGGAAAGGAAACGCCAATGGCACATCGCCGAACTGAGGAAGCTGGGGGGCTACCCGGGCCCTGGGGCTACACCATAGAAGATGGGTCCTCATGGGACGGTTGGAGCGGAGACGAGGAGACCCTTCCCTTAATCTCCTTGGAAGAAGAAACGAACCCTGGACCGGGACCTGTGCCACCTTCAACAGGTCCCTGGAACCCAGAGAACTCTAACCCATTTGTACACAGTTTATGGACCCCTCCCAAACCGAACCCGGGTCTCCAGACGTCTCTGAACCCGTTTATGGGAACCGTTAATGATGATGTTAAGGTTGAAATAAACACGTTGCCGTTTGACTTGCCCCAAGAGTCTCGTCCGTTTATTGGAGAAGGGACAGCCCGCCTACACGAACCCTCACACACATCTTCCAGAATTACTGAAAAACAAAGACAGGGTCACTACCTCTTGCTATTTTTAATGAGAGTGCATCTCTGAGAGGGAGGAGGCCTACCTGATGTAGATCAGTTTGCTTCGACAGTTTGTTGATGAGGATCTCTGAAGGGAATATATGCTCAAATTATTATAAAATGATCTGTTGCCAAGCCTTTGTTGAAGTGTGGCTATGACAGGTTTTGCTTAGAATAAGCTCATAGATTGAAACTGATCATATCTGTCACTGTAGATCATATAAGTCAAATGGAGGCATTGCTACCAGTTTTCATCCAAGTTATAATTTGGGGTGCCTTTTGAACATGCTGAAAATTGAGAGGGATTATTTTCAGCATGTGTGCCTCAATTGCGGATAGGTGTATTTCTAATGAACATCTGAAAAAAAAATCTGGCATCTGCAGGTTTTGAAAGTACACTCAGAAAGCAGAACACATCGTTAGAAAGGTCCATCTAGTTTATAATAGATAAAAATTAATGTTCTTTTTTAAAACAATCATTTTTTAAAGATTTGTAATGATTTTTAAAATATTAAATTGGTTTTTAAAATATTTATTGTTAAAATGTTTTTTAAAGAAAAATTAAAAAACCCTCCATCATAGTAATTTCAGTTACGTTAGTGGATATATTCCAGGAGACCTGGGTTCAAATCTCCACTCAGCCATGGAAACTCACTGGGGAGGTGGAACTGGTAAAACCACTCTTTAAATATCTCACTTACCTTGAAAACCCGATTATAAGTTGGTTCAGACTTAATGGCACATAACAACATAAAGAGCTCATTATGAAATAGGCATTGAAGTTATTCTGTATTACAATATAATCATATACTTAAAAAAAGTCAAACAGTTACTGGATCAGGGCCTCAATAAAATGGGGTTCCAAAGGCTTCTGCATAAATTTAAACTTTCTGTGTCCTCAAGTACTCAGTCTGGATAACATCAAAACATTTTGCAATTTCAAACTGGATTTGTGGCTCCAGAAGCATATAATAAGCAAAGCAATATTTGAAGATGAAAAATAATGGATCTGACCAATGCTGCTTTCCAGCTATGACTGCATTTATTCATAGAGGGTGGTGTTTTTTGCTTTCTTGTTTTCTCTTGATGAGAAATAATGTTGGAAATCCTTGGAAACTCCATCAAAAACACCAGGATCATTTTCAGTAGTTTGCTTGATTGATACTGATTCCTTTGGGCTGCCAATCCCAGCTGTTGTCCTTCTGCAGCTTGGTGTACTGTAGACAAAGTCAAGAGCTTACCTTTCTCTCTCTCTGGAAGTTGATACAAGTATTGGTATTTTTATTACTCCTCTAGGTTATATTTGGAACAAGGCAACTTTCACGAGTCCCTTACTGCTGATGATGTTTGTGTGGACAGATCTTCCGAATCAGTTACATGTCAGACATTTGAACTGACATTGAGGTCTTGCCTTTATCCTCACATAGACAAACAATATTTACAGTGCTGTGGAAATTTAATGCAAACTTTGAAGAAAGATTACAGGTGAGAGCTGAAATATTTTGGTAGTAATGACTTCAAATATTTACAAGATGCTTGGTGACTAGGGAGGGTTTGGTTTCAATTTCTGGCATACTGTGAAGGATAATCCTTTACTCAGCACGTTTCAATTTCTGGCATACTGTGAAGGATACTCCTTTACTCAGCACTGGAAGTGTTTTTCCTTCAGATAGCTGGGAAGAGACTTGGGTGACTCTTGTGGTAATGGATGGTGTGGAACAGAAAGCTAGATGTCAGTTCTTGACTATGATGGGAGGATGAAAAAAGTCATATTAAAAATTGAAAAGGAATTAAACATGTATATAGAATAATGTTTTTATGTGTATATTTCTATGGTTCAGGAAGTATAGGCAAACTTCTGCATTTCGATTTTAAGAATTATTGTTGTGGTTTATTAAAAAGCAGTATATTTTTGGGAAAGGTGGCAGAAATCTCACATCTCTTGCATGTAATGTCAGTGAGAATACATTCTTGGAAAAACAAGTCATCTGTTTATGGAATTCCATTTCCTGTGCATTCTTCATCAAAAACGTATGTTTAAACACTGGGTCATGATCTGTAAGTAAAACTTCTACAGTGCCTCAACGCAGTTACCTAATGCATGGACTGCATTATGTAATAAATAAACAAATGTGCTGAATCAGACGAGAGACCCACCTAATTCAGCATTCTGTTCTCATAGTAGCCGAGCAGGTAATGAGCATGACAGCACCCTTCTGTGGCTACTGGCGTTGAAAAGCATATTGCTATGAATTCATAGTTTAACTAGATAGTAGATGAAATAGATCCTTTTATTTCTCTTGAATTTTCCAACTTTGAGCTTCATTGGATTGCATTAGTTCAAGCCCATGAGAGAAAAACTGCCCCTCTCCCCCTTTCTTCACCTTCATTCCAGTCTGCCATAACCTCTTTTACTATTTTTCCTAAGCTAAAGAATGTTATAATGTTGCTTGATAGGAACTTGTTCCTGCCCCTTATTATGCACATTTCTCAACCACCTGAGAGAGGAGTGCTGAGAAAATATAACAGTGAAAATACAGTTTTATTAAAAATGAACACAATTATTTTATTCTGGATTTAAGCCTACAAGATTATGTGACTTAATGGTGTATGAAGAATGTTTTTGGTAGACTTATTGGAGTAGAGTTTGCCAGTGGCTTCTGTTTGAAAGCTTACATTACATTACTGAAGCAGTGAAGTATAAAATATGTCAAAATCTGAAGACCTGTGTGCTTCTTTTTTTAGGCTAGTGGAGTACTTGCAGGCAATGAGAAACTTTTTCTTACTGGAGGCTGGTGACACTATGTATGACTTCTACACATCCATTTTTGATAAAATAAGAGAGAAAGATGCATGGCAAAGTGAACCATTCCTTAACGTCCAACTCCAAGAAGCGGTTGGACAGCGTTACCCAGAGGATAGTTTAAGGTAAACATACAAATTATATTTATATCATAACTCTTTCTGCAAGCCTCTCTCTCTCTCTCTCTCTCTCTCTCTCTCTCTCTCAGTCTCTCTCCGCCCACCACCCCAGGTCAGTTATTGAAAGACCAGGTCACTTTGGCCAGAGGTTTGATTGCTTTTGAGCTTTTGACATTCAACTGGAGGCTGCAGATTGCATACAGTATCTTGATGTAGGGAAAATTGGTTGCAGTCAGTAAGATTTCTCTGCTTCATAGAGGACCTATTGCTCTGGGAAAACATTTCAGTGAAATGCTCAATGTGCTCTAATGTAGCTCAGTACAAAAAATGTCGAAACACTGGCTGATTAGTATATTCTAATTTTGCTAAGTTAACATGAATTGCATTTTTTTAATTGTGAAGACATGAGAGGCTGGGACCTGGAAGGAGGCATGGCTCTCATGTACTCTTACACCATCTGTGCTATAAGAGAAATACAACATAGCACACAAGCGCCAGATCTAGCTACTGAGCTTAGTTGTTAGTACGTAACCATATAACACAATTTAATTTGAGCAAGCAAATCCTATAGCTTTTTAAAGAAAGTTAGTATTCCAGTGAGCATTGATACCTTATATCATATTACACAGTTTGCAGCAGAGGTAACTGTAGCTAGGATGATTTTATCTGAAATGTTTTGCATTGAAGTTTCATGACTTGGTTAATCATATCTCACAGAACAAGAGTTCAGTTGCTAATACATATTTCTCAATGTAGGCTATCTATATCATGTGAAAATATTGATATAGCAAAGAAGAAGCTTCCTGTTCATACTTTGGATGGCTTAATACTGAGTTATAAGGTAATGCTAATTTCAATAGAAACCAGCTTTGAAATTAAATTCATTATTTTAATGTTGAATGTTAAGGTAATAATTAAATTACAGCTCAACATTGAGCTATAAGTAGAGATGGGGGTACAGTGGGGTCTTGACTTAAGAACGGCTTGAGTTAAGAACATTTTGACTTAAGAACCGCTCTCATAGGAAAATATTGACTTGACTTACATACTTAGATTTGAGTTAAGAACTGAAAAAAACCACGTGGGAGGCAGGGAAAGTGCAAAATTTTCGTATTTGTATACGAATATCCCCCCCAGGTGGAGATAACAAGGGTTCACTCATGATTCCTCCACTGCCGCAAGCTCCGTGGTACCTTCCTGTCGCTCTGTTGCTTGCGATGGATTAGCCACTCTATGACCTGTCAGTGAGGCTCGTCATCCTGCCGTCTGTCAGGACTGGCTAATCTGTCATGAGCAACAGAGTGATAGGAAGGCACTGCGGAGCTCACAGCAGTGGTGGAATTGTGAGTGGACAGTCTGGACGGTCTCCACCTGTGGGGGGATATTCATATTAATTTATGAATATGAATACCCCCATCTCTATCTATAAGATAATATGTATGTGAAAGAAGCAACAGAATAATTTCATCCGTTTCTTCCTTCCTTAGGTTCCTTGGCCAGTTGATATAGTTATAAGTGTGGAATGTCAAAAAATCTACAATCAAGTATTTCTTCTATTGTTACAAATCAAATGGGCCAAATATAGTCTGGACGTGTTAAGATTTCATGGTAAGATGTTTCACGGAAACATTTAAATTCTGTGTAATTGAAAATGTAGTGGTAAAGATGGGTAGGATATAGCCACACTATTTCCAGGTTCTGGAAGAGCATAACCTTTCATGTACCTGGAAGGGAAGGAAGAACATGGTAGGAAAAGAGGACTGAAAGAGAAGTGAAGAGAAGGGGTGTTGGTACAATTAGTTGTTGTGGTGAAGAATAAGCTGTGTGGAAATGAAATTTCTTTATTGTAAAGATGAGCAAGATCTAATGGTTTGAAGGTCAAATTCAAGCCCTGGGGGGGGATCGTACCAGGTCTCAGAATTGGTTGAAAATAGTCATTAAAAAAAGGAAAGAAAGAAACATAAAATATAAAAAAAACAAAACAGGAAACATCTGTATGGGTACTTCCTTTTTCTTTTTAGGGGCAGCAGAATCTTGATTAGTATGTTCTAATTTTGCTAATTTTGTTCCCTCCCAAAGTCCACAAACAAAAATCCTTGCTGTGAGACACCTTTTTGACCAAAGGCGTAGAAAGAACTTTATTTTTATCTTTTGGTAGTTTTAGAAGAGGTTGCCATGTTAGTCTGTGCTAGTATATTAGTCCAAATTTTTTTTAAAAATTAAGAAGACAAAAATGTTGTGGCACCATAAAGACTAACTGCTATATTTGAATGTGAGCTTTTGTGGAATGTGAGCTTCTGTCCACTTCCTCAGACAAAAGAGTTTATTCTTTTTGTCTGTTTTTCTTGGTCACCATATATTAATATTAATCTTTTAATATTAGGATGGAAGTTGTTCTTGTTGGCAGTGCTTTTTAGTTGTATTGAAATATTTATCTTTTTCTGTATTTGGTTGTTGTCCTGATGGTTGTCATCCTTTTATGAAGCCAATTCTGCCCTCTACTGATTGAACAGTTCCTTGACATGAAGAATATTTTAAAGTAGAGAAGCTGTGCCTTTTAGTTAAAGTAATAACAGAGGAGCTGTAGACTGCACTGTCTTGCTGGTTTTCCTGATCCTTTACAGTATTGTTCTTCTCTTTCAAGAACTAGTCAGTGCAGCAGAAAAGCTGCAGAATAAAGGTGGAGCCGAACAAGGGCCCCTTCTCCAGTTTGGAGCACAGCAGGAACCCATTAAACAACAAACACATCGCATGTTTCTTTTAAGGATGAAACTCATGCATTTTGTCAACAGCCTGCACAACTACATCATGACTAGGGTATGTAGGATGTGAGAAGGTTAAGAATGGTAACTGTTTCTGTTGGCAATCCAGAATAGTATCTCACATGGGTGTAGATTGTTTTTACAATCACTGTTGGTGACAAAAGTGTATTTTAAAATGCACTTTTGATTGAAGTGGCTTTGCCATTGGGTTGAGTAAGGCGATTGCCTCAGGTGGCAAAGTGCTGAAGATAGCAAATCTGCCCCACTTATCCCTGGAAGGTTTGTCTAGGGGTGGACTTGAGGAGGATGGTGCAGAACTGCTGCCACACTATGGCAGAGATGAGGCAGGACAACATAAAATGTCTGGAAAGAGGGGAAGGAGCAGTACTGCTGTGTGATGGTAGCTGCCTTATCCAAGTAGAGGTGAAGAGGGGAGTTGCTGAAAGGGAAGAAAAAACAAGTAGTGGCCATGGCCAAGTCGGGGAGCACGTGACTTGTTCCTGCTGCTTGAGAGCAAGGTGGCTGCATGTCTTTTGCTGGGTGTTCGCATCGGCTAAATTTGTTCTATAAATGGTTTCAGATGTAGGCTCTTTACAATTGGACAAATTAGACTGAGCGTTGAGAAAAATCCTCTATGTATTTTTTTTGTGTTAACATTTTTTAAAAGTTCGGTGATTTGGTAAAACCACACTGAGGGGTTCATAAAAACAGTATTTCATTGCTAATAAAGTGGATCCATTGGTCACACTTTCACTTACTAACCTCATTCAGAAATTCTCTCTTACGTATAAGTTGGATGGGCAACTGTGGTTGTCTGGATGTTTTTGAACTACAAATCCCATAATATCTCATAGTTTTGCTGGCAAGTCTCATGGGCATTGTAGGCCAAAAAATATTGAGAATCCCAAAGTACTGGCTTGAATCACAGAACTGGCTGTTTTGTTTAATCTGTGGAGAGTGCATTCAGTTTTATAACTGAGGGGTGTGTCACAGCCAGAAGAATCACCATGTTTGTAGTCTATTCCAGTGAAACCATCAGTGTCGTGTGGCACTTTAAAGACCTGGAAGGTGAAAAAACTTAATATCAATGATTTTCATAGAATGTGGAGAAGATAAGATGGCAACTGAGAACAAAGTTTTACTAGTCTTTATGTGTTCCCTTCTTAAAGATCCTTCACAGTACAGGTTTGGAGTTTCAGCATCAAGTAGAAGAAGCAAAAGATCTGGATCAATTAATTAAAATTCATTATAGATATCTTTCCACAATCCATGATCGCTGCCTGCTGAGAGAAAAGGTATACCGTACCGATTATTTCCTACATGACTTTTAACAAGATGAATTTGAAAACTATATACTGTTCATCATTTTTGTTATATAGGATAAGTTTTTGTCTCTCCATATTAGAATAAGTTTCTGAATTGGGAGAAAGATGAGGTGTAAATGAAATAATAAATAAAATAAATATTTATACAATTATTTAAAAGTCCACAAAATGAAACTCTATAACAGGGACAAGATTTTGGATTAGTTACATTTAATAGAGAGTATATTTATCTTTGCATAATATATAGAGTGTATAAAATTCTTCAGTTTCTGGTTCATGTAGATTAATCTGTGTTATTTGATTTCTACCATGGAGTTGCCATTTTGAAAGATTACATTTAAGACAACATTGTTTTTTTTGAGGAATAGAACTTAAGCCTTTTGACCAAATTGTAATTTGAAAAAAAATCCTTTTGTGCTTGTGGCTCACTGAAGAGGCCATGTTAGGTTGAGAAGTGATAGATGGATAGACAGACAAACAAACACACAAATAGGGAGATGGCTGTAGATAAATTAAGAAGCACCAAAGGGGAAACTATTCTTCAGTTCCCGTCCTCCTGCTCATGACAGAAAAAAAGAGCCAATGGTAGTGGTTGAACGTCAAACTGTGGCTTGGGTTCAAACCCTCACTTGGTCATGGAAACGCACTGATGGGTGGCAATGGTAAACCACTCTTTGATTGTCTCACATATCTTAAAAACCCATTTAGGGTTGCCAGAAGTTGTAAGGGACTTGACAGCACATAATAACATGATGGAGATACTACTGTACTGTGATCTCCAAGGCTTGGGGGTGGAGTTCACTCACACTTGTGAATGTTAGGATAAAATGAAGGGAAGCAGATTCTAAGTGACTTTGCTTCAGCACTCATGTCTGACTTTATGCTACTAAAGAGGCCATTGTGTGCCATTGCCATATTTGGCTCACACTAGTTTCAGGGAGATGATGTTTGGAGGTGGGGTTTTGGAGGGGTTTTTTGGGGGGGTGTTCCCCCTCAAATGTAGAGATATTTTCTTACAGACTTCTCTGTTTCTACTCTCTTGAGACTAAACCTATATATTTAGCAATTCTTAGATGAATGCCCTCTGAAGTATGTATTTTTGGCATGTGCAAATATTTGTTGTTAAGCTGGGCAGATGTTTGGTAACCATTTCCTATGGGGGACACTGATAGGTTCACTAATTTATGTGCAGCTGTTTTTTTCAAGCAAATAAAGTGATGATGACTCACATGTTCATCTCTTTGGTTTGCATTGGAACAACACAAAAAACAGAGTAGAAAATTCAAATCTGATACAGTCCCACACAGAAACCCAAAAATGCACTGGCCAAAATTATTGGCATCCTTAACTTAATATTTGGTAGCACCCCCTTTGGAAAAAATAACTGAAATCAATCACTTCCTGTAACCATGAATGAGTTTCTTACATCTCTCTACTGGAATTTTAGACCACTCTTCTTTTGCAGACTGTTCCATGGCCTTCAGATTTGACGCAGTTTTCAGGATAATTAATTGATGTAGTTTGCTTTGCTTTAAATTGGTATTGGTTAGAAGCACAGGATATACCCGACTGTTTCCAAGACAAATTCAGGATTCTTCTGTGTGGTATATCTTGTAGTTTAGAATACGGGTAGTGTGCAGTGGCAGAATTCCTAGTGAGATCCCAGTGACCTGATCCACAATTTATCATTGAGAAATGTTAGGTTGACATCAATCAATGCCACTTCAATTAGATGCTAAAACCGAGAGAAAGAATTGTATCTTTGGCCTCAGTGCATATGCTCTCTATAAACTTCTGTAATGTGAATTGAATAATAATTCAATCCATTACAATTTGGCAGAGGTGGAAATATTTAGGTCCACTGAAATCAGTGACCTTCAGTGTACCTTTGTTAGGTTGTTACTGTTCATATATCTTGAAACACTTTCTGTTTCTATTTAGCTATAAGTCTTGGCATCTTTCTTTTTAGAAATTAACCACTATGGCATATAGTAGAAATTATTAGTAAGCCCACCCTCTTTCTTCTATGAAAGGCATTATCTTTCTAATGTAAATAATGTTTATCCCAAAACATGGATGATGGGAACGAGTACCACAGGCCACAACGGGAATATTTTAAGGGCTTGATAATATTCCCGAGTATTTGCTACCCCTCACTGAAGGGATATTGGAATAAATGATCAGAAGAAACTGTTTTTAGCACAGGCAAAAGAATACTAACCCAGTTAGAAGAGCTGGAAAACAGGCTGGGCATCTGAGAAATGTTAAACCTTTAAATAAAATTATGATCCCAGCTGCTACTTTTAAAAATGTTTCAGGTTAGTTTTGTGAAAGAAGCAATAATGAAAGTGCTGAACCTGGTGCTGATGTTCGCAGACCGTTGGCAAGCCGGTTTGGGAGCTTGGAAGTAAGTATATGCCAATTAACTGATATTGAAATCATTTTCCAGCATCCTCCTTACTGACATGCATCCTCTGTGTGAAGCATTACTATAATCCAGTGGAACGAGTGAAAAAATAATCACAGAAACAGGCTGGATCTGCTGTGGGCACATGTTGGCTGCATAATTAGTGTATTTTCTAAAGATAAGGTTGGAAATGTTACATTCAGAAAATAAATTATAAATAGTAGTTGGTGTACATATCAAATATGATTGGTGATTTAATTAATTTAACATTAATTAAATTATTGTTACTGTAGGAAGATCTTGGCCGTATTAACATTTTGTTTCAAATGTTTTGTGCCAATTATGGTTTCAGGCACTGATTTAGGGCTAAATCCAATTATGATCCCAACTACAGTAAGTCCATTGTAACGAATACAACTTGTTAGTCAGCAGTAATGTGAGTCCCATTTGTTTTAATGGTCTATTTTAGTCAGGACAGAAATTGAATTTGACCCTCTTGTGATTGTGCATAGATATCCTAAAAACAGCTAAAAATTGTATTGTACAGAGTCTTGCATCTGGTATCAAGCAAGCAGATTAATGCCTGAGCAATCAACCTTTGGTATCCATATGCTTCCTTTACAACTATAGGCTGTATCCAAAATTATTATCCACTACAGTAGATCCAACTGATATCAATCTGATTTATGTTCATGTTGACAAACAAGGCCCATTCGTTTTAGTGACTCTACTTGAGACTGAAATTGGATTTATTTCTTTATGGCCAAGTGTAGCCCTCCAAATGCTGTTGGACTGAAATTCTGATCATCGTTAGCTAGCATTCAATGGTACTAGAGTTGCACTCCAATGTTTAGCATGTTTAGCATCGTATTGAGGGGGAAACAACCATGTATTTGATTTGGAGAATTGTTAAGTCACAGTCCACTTGCAGAAGGCAGCTTTACTGCTCCCACCTCCATACTGTAACTCTCAAGAACAGTGTGGACTTCTGGAAGAAATGGGCAAGAAAATGTGCCTCCCATAGGTTGGCAGCAGTGGTCAGTGCTGTAATACTGTACTTGCTTCAGCAAACTATTCATGCAATAAAGTAATTATGGTTGTCCTCTGCTGTCTATATGAATTTGCTATGATTTGTGAACACAAAGTCTCATGCCCAATAATTGTCAAAACATAATGGTAAATAAAATCCATGTTGGTGTATATTCACCATGTACACCGTTAAGTCAAATATGTGATGCTGAGGCCTAATGGAATGGGTATGATTGAACTGTTTCACTTAGTTTTTGCTGATATGTTTGCTATGTGTGAAAAAACTTTAATTGTTTTTGTGGATGAAAGTACAAAGGCTACAGACAAGGATAAACTCTGTAAACAGCTCACTGTTCAAGACCTAGTAGGTCAGAACTATTTTTCTCTTTAATTTTTCAGCATAATTTGATTTTTATCTGTAGAGAATGCTTGAAAGTATCTTGTACTGTTCATAGGATGGAATCCATAACCAAGATGGAATCAGATTTTAAAAACTGCCACATGTTCCTCGTGACAGTACTGAACAAAGCAGTATGCAGAGGCTCCTTCCCACATTGTGAGTACTTAGAAAGGACAATTTTATATCTATCTAATTTGTGAGCATATTGCTCTCAGAACAACTTATTGCTAAGCATAATGCTTACCAGCAGCTAATTGCATCTTGTGTACTGGGCAATACTGGTATACAGTGGTGCCCCACATGACGACGATAATCCGTTCTATCATTCCCACATTGTGAGTACTTAGAAAGGACAATTTTATATCTATCTAATTTGTGAGCATATTGCTCTCAGAACAACTTATTGTTAAGCATAATGCTTACCAGCAGCTAATTGCATCTTGTGTACTGGGCAATACTGGTATACAGTGGTGCCCCACATGACGACGATAATCCGTTCTATCAAAATCAAAATCGCTGTACAGCGAAATTGTCGTCATGCAAAAAAAATCCCCATTGGAATGCATTGTTCCAATGGGGAAAATACCTGCGAAGATCCTCCATAGGGCGGCCATTTTGAGAGTGCAGATCAGCTGTTTTTAATTGCTGTCTTCCGAAGCAAGGGTCAGAAAACAGCGGGAGGCCATTTTAGGAACCTGATGATCAGCTGGAAAGATCGTCGTCCAAAGAAAAAACGGTTCCCGAAGCAGGGACCTAATCGATCGCAAAAAAGTAATTGTCAAGCAATTTTGTCATGCTGCAGGGTTGTCGTAATGTGGGCCACCACTGTATATTAGCAAACAACTTGTTATAAATACGGGTAACTTGAAAACCACTCTAAAAAACTGGATAATACACCATCTAGGACAGTGATGGCGAACTTTTTTGGGCCCGAGGGCCCAAACTGGGGGAAAAACAAAACCAGCGGGCAGGCGGCGGCAGAAGCGGGAATACCGGATGTGGAGGTGCCTTGAGACCCCACTCTGGATCCGCCGGCAGTGCCACATGCTGTGGATCCTGGCCCAACGCCTGTCGGGGTGCCAGCACTGAGCTGCAGCTGCCTCCTCAGGTTTGGCTGCGGGGGGAGTGGGAGGGGAGAGTAGCAATCCGGCGACTTATGGCTCATGTTCCCGCAGAGGGCTTTGCGTGCCAGCTGTGGCACCTGTGCCTTAGGTTCGCCATCACTAATCTAGGAGCATAGGATGTTTCTGCCTTCTACTACTGTAGAACCTAGCCCAGCATGGTCAACTCTCACTGGCAGCAGCTCACCAGGATTTCAAGAAGTATCCTTTCCTAGCCCTGTCTGAGGATTCTAGGTGGTCACCCCTCCAAGTGAGAGGGTAGTAACATCAGTGCTACGTAACATCCACAGTCACATTAGATTAGATGTGTTTATTGTGATTTATTGGGCCATGTTTTGTTCAAAAAGCCAATTGCCCTCTTAGGTGCAAACGTACATTGAAACATTCAAATGGTAGATATTAACATGTTTTGCTTTGTGTTTTGGTTCACAGTGGAATCTTTAGCGTTATCTCTCATGGCTGGAATGGAACAAACATAGCAGAACACAGATAATCATGGAGCTGCTCCAAGTCTGACAACGTCTTTCCAACACAGAGAGTTCAGTTTAAGTATCTCTTGAGAGCAATATGGCAGAGGTCTTGTTTTGACTGGTTGTAGTTCGTGCCCTATATGTGTGCATAAATTTACGGAAACATGCATTTGTACCTGAAATGAAAAATGTTCACTAATAAATGAAATATTTAATCATTGAATCATTTACATGCTGTCAGGTTTTCATGCTAAATGTTATTTGGGCAGTGTAGAGGAGAAATCCACACCTATCACTGCTCAGAAAAGAGGCAGGGAGTCGCATGACAGGAGCTCTTTCTTGCTCAGCTCCCTCCTTTGTCTCTTTTTCCTGCCTCACCCAGATCAGAGCACTTGTGTCAGCTCCCCTGTCTTCCTATCTGTAACTATGTTAATCTGGCCAGGTCAGATCTTTCTTTTCCTCTGCGAGGAACAAACAGCGAAATTAATGTTGTTAAATAAACATTTAAAACTTCTGTTAAACTGGCTCCTGAGTGTAATCCCAAATGCAGTGACAGTAATGTATTATCTTGAAGTTCTGTATTTTTGCTTCTTTGAAAGATGTAATTCCATTTTGCTAAACAGAAATTCCTAAAACTGTAGTGTATTTTATTTAATTGTTTTTCCATAGAAATCAGTTAGTATTTTTTTTTTACTCTGCAACAAGCCTTTAATGCAGTGATTGACTTAAATGCATAATTTAAAATTCTAACCTTGGTATGGTTTTTCTAATAGCTTTGGATGTTCATATGGAAGTTTGTAATCTCAATTGTTCCTGGGATTATCAGTATAACTGTATTTTCTGGGCTTACATTATTTGTCAAAATAAAATACAAGGATGATGACTCCTTTGCTACACTATGAATATATTCTTACTGTATTTACCTGTTACAAAATCTTATATAGGTTCTCAGATTCTTGAGGGAACTTCATGGGAACTATATCAGTGTGTTATATATAGATTTACACATAACTCACAATATTATCTGGAAAGTGGCTTGTGGCCTGCTTCTCAATCCTGGTAGAGACAGCATGGAATCAAGAATGCTTCTGCTATTGCATGTGATGTGGTATTTGAAAACAAAAGTCTGTGAATTCTAGTAAGTACTGCTGCTGATGTGGTCACATTTTAAAATTTAAAAATAATAAAAACATATCTTAGAAACAAAACAAACTGAAGTTAAACAAGAACCTAATCAAATAAACCTCAGAACTAACATGAACTCTATAATAAACATAATAAGAATGGGAAAAATCATAAAGCACAAATCTTGCCAAATTGTTTACCTCTCTTTGGAAGCAGAATAGGTGGAGAGCTAAATCTGCCATTCTTATGAAATTACAGTGAAGCTGATCTCATGCAGCAAAAGCCCTGCACCTGTAGAGGCAAATTTAGCTCCAGCAAGACAGAACATAAATATTGAAAACATATTGCTCAATGTAGTAAGTTACACAATAGGGCCATGGAATCAGCGGGAGATCTGGTGGGTGAACTTTAAGTTCCACTGATTCAAATTGAACCCCAGCTGCAACTATGTAAAAAGTCACAACTAAAGTAGGCCCATTTGAATCAATGGAATGACTCACCAAATCCCCAATTAGTCATTGGGCCTACTCTTATTGTGTCCTACTATTTCTAAGGGACAAGATTTTGGACAAGAAGTAGCATTTGAATGACTGCTACTGGCGTTTTTACAAGTGGAGACTTTCAAAGACAATGTGGACAGGAGGCCTCAGACTAACACATTGAATTGGGTCTGGAAGCAAATAAGCCGCCTGTTGTTTACAGCAAGTGAAATATGAGAAAAGTAGTTTTCCCTGTTGTCAGGTATACAGCTGTATTCCTATCATCAAGCATTCCCGAATCATTTCAAAAGTCTGAGCAAATGTTATTTTAATTAGAAAGATATGATGGTCAAATTTATTCTGGCTATCTGTATAAGTCTCAAACAGTTTAAGGGACAGAATTAATCTCTTTGTTAATTTTCTAGCAAGAACAACTATGTTAAGCAGTGCTAAAATGTGCCCCATTACATTCTCAACAGTATAAAAAGAATTTGACTAGTATTTTAAAAGCAGCTTCCTTAAATGAAATATTTATTACTTTTTCATCAACCTGCCTTTTCCATTTAAAAAAAAGGCGAAAGGTGGCTAACATGACCAAATTAAGCAGCAAAACTGATTAAGATCATAATAGCAATCACCCGTCAGTTACTGATTCTGTGGGATGAAAGGAGGTCTTTATCAAAAACTAGCCCTGCTGCCTGGCATTACCAGCACGGAGTAATTTTCTGAAATTAAATACATCTTCCTTCCATCCTTTGGCTCTAATAGTTTCCGTATGGTGAATGCAATTATGTCAGACCTGGGCAAACTGCAGCCCGCGGGCCACATACAGCCCGACAGCAGCTCCTGTCTGGCTCGGCCGTCGCTGCTGAGTGAGCTGGAGCGCCGGCTCCAGTTACCCAGCATGGCAGTAAGCAAAACTTACTTACCAGCGTCGGATCTCGCGAGTTTTGACTGTTACTCTTAAGCCGCAGACTGCGGAGCCTGTGACTCAAGAGGCCAGAAGCGATCCTTGCACTGGCGACATGACGATGCATCACGTTGCCTGCATGGGATAGAAGACAGTCGGAAAGGAAGGCTACGGGGGAACAGAGAACAGGTGAGTTAGCTCAGTGTCGGGTCCCCCCCCCCCCCCCCGTGAACGAATTACAATGCTCACATAGTTAACTCCCTAAGTTTAGGGAGTTAACTATGTCAGCCTTGTAGTTCATTCACTGCAGGGCCTCACCCAATGGAGCCCTATTACTACCCACAAATTGGGGGCGTATTACTACCCACCCCTGAATACAGTGCAGATTTTTCATGTGGCCACCTATAGAAATTAATTGCTCACTCCTGGATTATGTGGAAGTTGGAAAACCCAAAGGATAGTAGGAAGGATAGTAGAAGGATAGTAAGAAACCTAATTTGGCGGCGGACGAAACTGGCAATTACAGGCCCGTCGCCAATGTTTCTTTCATTAGCAAAGCGGTGGAGAGGGTGGTGGCTGACCAGCTTCAGGCTCTTTTGGATGAAACAGATGCCGCGCCATGGTACAGAAACGGCATTGGTCGCCCTGCATGATGACCTGTTGAGGGAGGCTGACGGGTAAAATATCTCTGTTGGTCCTCCTCGACATCTTGGCGGCCTTCAATACCATTGATCACGGTATCCTCCTGGGGAGGCTCTCTGAGTTGGGAATTGGTGGCTTGGCGCTTGCCTGGCTCCGTTCCTTCTTGGAGGACCGACCCCAGAGAGTACAGCTTGGGGAGAGTGTTTCGGCCCCGTGGAGCCTCAACTGTGGGGTTCCACAGGGGTCAATTATCTCCCCAATGCTGTTTAATATCTATATGAGGCCACTTGGTGGGGTCATCAGGGGGTGTGGGGCATTGTGCCATCAGTACGCTGATGACACCCAGCTCTACATCTCCTTTCCACCTACTGTAGGAGATGCTGTCCTGTCCCTTCAGCGTTGCATGGGGGCTGTAATGCAGTGGATGCAGGAAAATGGGCTGAGGCTGAATCCGGACAAGACGGAGGTTCTGAGGGTGGGTGCCCCCACTATCGGTGGCTTGGGTGACTCTCATTCGGGGGGGTTACCCTTGCTGCAGAGAGTGGGGTCCGCAGCCTGGGGATCCATCTGGACCCGGCGCTCACCATGGAAACTCAGGTGGCGGTGGTGGTCCGTTCTGCCTTTTTCCATCTTTGGCGGATAGCCCGGCTGCGACCCTATCTCGATACGGGGGCACTCAGTACTTTGGTCCATGCACTCGTAATCTTCAGATTAGACCACTGTAATGCGCTCTACATGGGGCTGCCTTTGAGCTTGACACGGAAGCTCCACATGGTGCAGAATGCGGTGGCCAGACTCCTTAGTGGAGCGAGAAAATTCCACCATATTTCTCCTATTCTGGCCGTGTTGCATTGCCTGCCCATTCAGTTCCGCCCTGACTTCAAAGTTTTGATGCTTACATACAAAGCCCTAAATGGTTTAGGGCATCGATACTTGGCGGAACGCCTACTCGCACCAAGTTCTACCCGTGTCACTCATGCAAGTCAGGAGGTGAGGCTGAGGAGCCTGACACCAAGCCTTCTCAGCGGTGGCTCCTCGCCTCTGGAACAATCTGCCTCTGGAGATTCGTGCGGCCCCCTCGCTGGGTATCTTTAAAAATCAATTAAAAACGTGGATGTTTTGGCAGGCCTTCCCTCCAGCCAATTCCTGATGTTTCCTTCTCTTTTTCTATTGTGATTTACTTTGTTTCCTCCCCATCTTGTTGAATTTGTCTATGGTATGATAATCTTTTTATATTTTGTTCATGTATTTTATGTTGTAAGCCGCCTAGAGTGGTCGTAACTGACCAGATAGGCGGGGTATAAATAGAAAAAATAAATAAAATAAAAGTTCTTAATTACCTAAAAGAGCTCCCTGCTGATGACTTAATCACTCTTTCAGTGATGAAGAGTATCAACCTGCAAATAATAGTCATTGCTGATTTTTGCCAGTAATATGGTGGCAGCAGCATGCTGTCAAGTTGGAACCCACTGATATCAATCCTAATAGGGTTTTCAAGGTAGGTGAGATACTTAGTGGCTTTACCTGTTCCACTCCCCCAGTCAGTTTCCACATCTGAGTGCAAATTTCAGCCCAGGACTCCCAAGTTTTCGTCCAGTTCCACTCCCCCAGTCAGTTTCCACAGCTGAGTGCAAATTTCAGCCCAGGACTCCCGAGTTTTCGTCCATCGTTCTATCCACTACTACACCACACTGGTACTCTGTAATACAGTATCACCTGCATATTAAGATTATTAATATTTCCATTCTTTATCTGAATCTAATCTAGGTTTCTGTGCGAAAAATTCTGCGTGCAGATTGAACAGATAGGATGAAGAAAGGAAGCCCTGTCTGACACGATGGTCTATGGGAAACCTTTCTTCTTCTCTTACTGTGGCCTAACGGTAGCGTATCGTCCAGAGTGCGGGGTTACTACGACGCAACCTTGCGCAAACAGTAATAGGAACGAGAAGGTGATTTTCAGCCCCAGTAAGGGGGCGAAGCCAAACATGCAGGGCGGCACCCAGTCTACAAGCTTTCACTGGAAAGGCCTTTTTACTCTCGAGTAGACCCAAGGACGACAGTGACTCCAAATCACGCACATAGCAGGGAGGGCCCAGTCGCATGCCTGGAGCGCAACCCGGCGAGCGCTTCCTGCTTCTTCCTTCAGCGAACGTGTGAAGACGGGAAGCCGCTCCGGAGGAGGAGGAGGAGCTGCTCGGCGGGAAGGCAGCCCGGCGGGTGGCCGGCCTTCGTCGAGGGGGATGGCCGAGGGTTCGGGATAGGGGAGGAGCTGGAGCGAGAGGAAGGGTGTTTCCTGGCACGGCTTCCCGGTTTGAACGGCTCAGGCAGGAAACTCCCAGCGTCGTGCGGGCCTCGGAAAGGAAAAGGGGCCCGGGCGCAAAGCACCCCCTTGGCGCCGGGGAACGAAGCCTCAGGGAACCGAGCCCCGGGAGCTGCCGGCGAGGAGGAGGAGGAGGAGGAGGGAAAACACCGCCGGCTTGCTTGCTTCGAGGCTGGGTGAGAGGAACTCTTCCCCCTCCCTCCCCGTCGTTCCTCTCGCCGTCCCCTCAGGAGCCTGCCTTCTGAGGAGAGGCTCTCCTTTTGCCTTCGGCACCCAGGCTGGGGGGGGGGGGGGGGGGGGGGGTGAAGGGGAAAGGAAAGCTCCGCCGCCTGGGCGGAAAAGCGCCCCTCAAGCTGGCCTTTTCGCCCCTGTGGCCTAAGCCGGGAGAGGAGGAGGGCGCAGCCTGGTCGCTCCCGGGATTTGG